GCGCCATCCCAGGAAGGCACGATTTTGATTGCAACGTTCTTGCACTAGGCGGTTGCAAGTTTGCCATCCGGCCGTGAAGCGCCCGTTAGAGTTGTGGAGGATGGTGATGAGGACGGCGACGAGGAGGAGGGTGACGACGAAGACGAGGAGGATGAGGAAGATAGGGAAGATGATGAATGAGGGCGGAGAAGATGATAACGATGAGAAAAAACGTTGCTGTTTTGGCTCAAGCTGGGCAGGTGGGTCGCTTCTCGCTTCTTCCGCACCGCTTGGGATGGCTGCGGGGGGCCGCCCGCCCAGTTGGCGGCCAACGGCGCTGCGCAGGACCGAGGCGGTCGATCTCGGCGCGTCACGCGGCTCGGAGGCGGCGCCAGGACGCGCCCGAGGCCGCGATCCACGCACTCGGGGGCCCGCGGGGCCCGCCCAGATCGTGGCAGGACCGTGAGGAGGCGGCTCGCCCGGCCCTGCGGCTGGCATCCAGCGGCCGCCGCGTCCATGGTGCTGCTCGGCGGCGCCGCAACGCGGCCTTGCACGCGCAGCGCGTCCCGCGGGTGGCTCCACGGGGAGCTTTTCGAAGCCGAGCGAGCACTTGCGGGTTCGCGACCACTTGGACAATTCAGTGGTCGGGGCGGGCAGCACGCCCAGGAAAAATGTCGCGGAGTTCGTCCCGTTGGATGCCTTGCACATTGACGCAATCCGCCCCTTCGAGGCCGACGGGTCGTTGAAGCAGCCTTTCAAAGCCAAGCGCGAGCGGCTGCTGGCCAGGGAGAGGCTGGCTGTTTTGGGGGCGCTGCACAGAGATGCTTGCCGCCCCTTCGAGTTTGGCGGGCCTTGGAAGCAGCCCTTCAAAGCCAAGCGCGAGCGATTATGGGCCAGGGCGAGGCGATCCATACGACTGGCCACGGAGGCTGATGTAGGGACCCTGTTCTGAAATACGAGCACAGGACAGCACAATCTCCCAGTGCGTTCGCGGATTCCTCGTTGCATGTTGTATTGTTCGGCCCCAGTTTCTATTGGGAGTAGTAAGTCCTCCCGTCGAAGGTATCGCGCTAAACCCGAAAAGAAGTGGCGCAAAACACGGGTGTCCTTGGGGCCAAGGAGGTCTAGGGTGAACCGAATAAACCCTGGGCAGCAGCCCGAGAATTGCCGTGCAAAGTCCTTTCGCCCATGGAATGGTGGGATGCAAAGAGAGCCCGGGGAGAACGAAGAGGCCAGCGAAGGTGCTCGGCGTGCGCATCGGCGAGGACCAGACCGCCACCGCAGACCTCGAGGCTACGATTGCCAAGGTGGCACGCGCCCGACGGGCAATCAACAGTCTCGACCACCCGCCGTGTGAGCCTGCAGTGTTGCCGCATGGATGTCAACAGGGCCGCCAGAATACATCCTCTGATGCAGCGGAGACCGCGTCAAGCGCACTCGTTTGACGGCGGCGCGCGGGCTGGCGTCGAGTAGAGTGGCCTCCCGGATCTCTAATGTGGTCGGTGGTATCGACCGTGTGGCCGATACCACCGACTTTATCGATTGAAGCATCGCCGGCTATATGCTGTCTGCCACGCTGGAGCCGAACATCTGACCTAGTCCAGACCCCGTTCCTGATCCGTCCGATTGCGAAGGCCTTACGGCCGGTGCCGCCGACCCTGTTCGCAATGCGCAGCAAGAGGCACGGGCTGTGGGATGGTTTTGGGGAACGGGGAGAAGGACGAGAAGGTGGGGGAGGGAGGTGTCGTATCTGACCCGGGACTTCCCCGGGACTCCCCCGGGACCCCCCCCGGGACCCCCCCTCCCCCCCCCGTCGGGGAAGGGAAAGGGAAGGGGCTTCCCTTCGACTCAATTACGACGTTGCTCAAGGTCGGTACGGGGGGGGGGCGTCGTATCTGACCCGGGACTCCCCCGGGACCCCCCCCGGGACCCCCCCTCCCCCCCCCGTCGGGGAAGGGAAAGGGAAGGGGCTTCCCTTCGACTCAATTACGACGTTGCTCAAGGTCGGTACGGGGGGGGGGCGTCGTATCTGACCCGGGACTCCCCCGGGACCCCCCCGGGACCCCCCCTCCCCCCCCCGTCGGGGAAGGGAAAGGGAAGGGGCTTCCCTTCGACTCAATTACGACGTTGCTCAAGGTCGGTACGGGGGGGCCGTCGTATCTGACCCGGGACTCCCCCGGACCCCCCCCGGGACCCCCCCTCCCCCCCCCCGTCGGGGAAGGGAAAGGGAAGGGGCTTCCCTTCGACTCAATTACGACGTTGCTGAAGGTCGGTTTGGCTAGCGCGCTTGAGGAGGAGGCCCTGGGAAAGGGCGAGGGGAGCGGGGAGGAGCCCAGGGGAAGAGGGGTACCAGGGAAAGGGAACGACAGAGACGACGATTACAAAGAATGACGGAGATGACGGCTCGAACGGAAAAGCCCCTCACACACGCCGACAGGGTCGGCGGATTTCGACTCTGACTCCAGCTCCGACGCCGACGCGGTGACGCAGGGAGGGAGAGCGCCTGCCTTGGACTCGGCACGCCCAAGCATAGAGCACCCGACTCGGGCGGACAATTCCTGCCGCCCTTTCTATCTGGCGCGAACCGATAGCGCGACACGGGCTCAGAGCTGCCAGCTCCAACTTCGGGCCCGACTGCCGTTGCGACGCTGGCGCTGGCTCCTGCACCGACGGCGGGTCAAAATGTACGCACCCACCACGGCGGAGTTGAACATCGAACCGATTCGCAGGTACACCTACCATGGTCTCCACGACGTCCCTAACACGTTTCACGGCTTCGTGCGCAACCCGATCACTAAGAAGATCCAGACACCGACGCCAACTCCGGCGCCAGCATGAATGGTTGTGCCTGCGCCAGCACCAAAAACGCCAGCGCGTACACCAGCGCCGAGAACGGTACCAACGCCCACGCCTACACCAGCGCCGCCACCAGCACCGAAGCCAGCAGCAATTTCAGCCTGCTGGCCCACCCGCTATCACATTTCCCATCCAACCTACCGATTTCGTCGTGCCATCCCATCCGCCATCCGAGGCCCAGCCTCACGCGCCAGCATGGGAGCGCCTGCGCCAACACTGGCCCAGCACCGACGCCAGCACGGAATCATGAGCAGCACGCGGGCACCACGAGCAGCACAGCGGAGACCATGAGTTTTACGACGAATACCACGTGCAGCACGAAATTGCCATGAGCAGCGAGGCGCATACCACGGGCAGCACGACGGATTCAATCAGTTGCGCGACGATTGCCACGAGTAGCCATTTGTCCATGCTTCTTGCTGCCTGTGCTCGCGGACTCGCGCGCCCGCCCCATGCTTCCTACTCCATCATCACAGGCCCCATGCTGTTTGCCATAGCGGAGTCGTGCATTAGGTCAGGTTCTGACCGTAGGTCCTTCTCCAGTCTCGACTCCAGCTCCTGCTCCGGCGCCGACGTGGTGACGTTTACCCGGCCAGCGGCGAGGACGTCTACCCGGCCGATTTCGCACGGCCGACCAACAATCCCCATTGCCACCAACCCCACCACCCGCACCACCACCACCACCACCACCACAACCACGGCCATCAACGCCACGACTCCGACCCGGCAACGACGTGGCCCTCACTCCGACTGTCGCAACAGGCTCCTTCACGCCTACCGCTCCGGCGGGCAACGCAGGCTACAATACCTATACGACCACCCTTCGGGTGATAAGGAGGTTCGGGGGGGGGAACCAACGTCTCACTCAATCGGTTTCACTATCGATCTCACTATCGGTCTCGCTCGATCGATCTCACTTGATCGATCTCACTCGATCTATCTCATTCGATCGATCTCACAATTGATCTCGCAATCGATCTCACAATCGATCACACAATCGATCTCACATTCGGTCTCAATATCGATCTCACTATCGATATCACAATCGCTTTCACAATCAACGTCATCATCATCATCATCATCATCATCATCATCATCATCATCATTATCATCATCATCATCATCATCATCATCATCGACATCATCAACATCAACATCATCACCAACATCGTCATCATCATGAGGGCACAGTCATCATCATCATCATAAACATCATCATCAACGTCAGCACCACCATCGGGACAACATCATCATCACCATCACCATCATCATCTCATCATCAACATTTTCATCATCATCATCATCATCATCATCGGGGCATAGTCATCGTCATCATCATCCGAATCATCATCATAATCGGAACACCATCATGATCACCATCGTTCTCATCATCAACATTATCATCAACATCGTCATCATCCTCGGGACACCATCATCATCATCATGATCATCGCATCATCATCAACAACATCATCATCATTGGGGCACCATCATCATCATCATCATGAGCAACATCATCATCAACATCGTCATTATCATTGTTATCATCATCGAGACACCATCAGCATCACCATCATCATCATCACCATCATCATCATCATCACCATCGTCATCGGGACACCATAATCATCATCAAGATCATCATGATCATCATCATCAACATCATTATCGCCGAGACACCAGTTCCATCAACATCATCATCACCAACATCATCTGAATCATCATCATCATCATCATCATCGGCACACCATCATCGTCATCATCATCAACATAATCATCATGAGCATCATCATCCTCATCATCGGGGCACGATCATCATCATCGACACCATCATCAGCACCATCATCTTCATCGGGGCACCATCATCATCATCATCAACATCAACATCAACATCAACATCAACATCATCATCATCATCATCATCATCATCATCTCATCATCATCATCCTCGCAGGGCACCGCGGGACACCGGCGGGACACCGCGGGACACTGCGGGACACCGCGGGACACCGCGGGACACCAGCGGGACACCGGCGGGACACCGCGGGGCCCCGGCCGCCCGGAAGGGAATCATTTGGTCCGGCCGCGCCTCAGCCACACGGGACACCAGCGGGACACCGGCGGGACACCGCGGGGCCCCGGCCGCCCGGAAGGGAATCATTTGG